ATTCTTAGAGATAAAACTAGCGGAGAGATAAAACGCTCCTTCAGAAACGTTTCTTTTATCTTCTTCCTTCCTTCAGTGAAAAGTAAGGGTCTGCGCACAATAGGAGAAATATTAGGAACAGATATTAAATATGAGAATTTTAACCTATCAGAACTGTGTACTGTGGAATGTGCGCTTTCTGACAGGTTAAAATTCTTATATTTAATATCTGTTCCTAATATTTCTCCTATTGTGCGTAGACCCTAATTCTTTCAAACAAAACATATTCCGGGACAGTGTTGGACATAATATCTAGATGTATGTATCTAAATATAGAGATACATTTTATGCATCTGAACTTGTATCTGGAATCTGTATTTATTATTACTATATATAAAAAATACAATTCACTGCTTTTGAGATACACATACAGATACAATAATATTAATTATCATGAAATATCAACAATAACATAGTTTCAGAAAAGAATTATGTAGACACCGTATGATATTAAATCCATTAATCCATACCGATATTTTTTAGAATGTGAAAAAAATATATTCTTTTTGAAAAAAAAGATCATATTTTATCTGATTATATATTAGTCGTTAGAAGTGCCTTACAGATTTGCGTACACAAGTAATGTTTAAGTCATTCAGAAAGCTGTCAGCGCTATTGCGTCATTAATTATAACATTTAGTAGAGAAAGCAGCTTTCCAATTAAAATTCTTCGATATAATTGCTTTATATATTTAAATCCATAAGGAATAAAAGAGACAAGAAGTAATCGTGTTAAAGGATTTTACAATAATTTTGCAAAACTGCTTTCTCAGCTAAACGCAGTCATTGGCCTTATGTACATTTCACATACAGCACGTTAATGTTAAATCAATATCTCAAAAACGTTGAATCGCAACATTACGATTGCATGTCATACCTCATGAAATATCTATTTGATATATATATTATATATATATATATATATGTGTGTGTGTGTGTACATATATATATATATATATGTATCTGATTGTGAGATACTTTTGAAGTATCTGACAAATAATCTGTAGCTACATATTGTACATTTTAATTTGTACAGTATCTGTATCTGTATCATTTTAAAAGTATCTTACTCATCACTGCTCTGGGAAGAGAAGGGGAGGGGGGGGGGGGAGAGCTATTGTAATTCACGTTCGCACGTTTAATACGCGATCGCGTGCTGCATTTTGTACGTGATCAACACGTGTTACGTGAAAATCAATCGAGAAATCAAACTTTCGGTTTCGCCTGGAAGTTTCTTCAAGGCCGTTGTCCCCCCACCCCTTGGAATGGGTGCTCGTTCTGATAGACACACCGAGGGGTAGAATCGTAAATATTACTGACCCGCGAAGAAAGATCGTATACGAATTAACTGTTTACGTGTATCCATAAACACGACCTGCGGCACAAAGTTTTCAGTTTTTACAGCTCGACGAAATCACATCAGAAAAGCAAATACCTAACGCGTATATCAGTTTAACGTCTTTATGCGATAAAACTATGAAGTTATCTCCGTATAAACAAAAAAATGTCTATTGCGCAAAAGATTGATTTATACCTGGATTTTGCTTCAGAATGTTTAATTTCATATAATTTCAATTATCACGATAATAATTTTAGAATAAGGAGATTCAGATACAGATTCTTGCAAAGGAGAGACTAAAAGTAAGAAAATTACTCCGTTAAATCAAAAAAATTCAATAAATAATTACACAAAAGTATACCAATGCCTATTTATTTACTTCTTCTTGTTAATCCTTATATAACTTGCAAAATGTATGATGTACATTTAATAGAATAGTAATGTAAAAATGAAATCTATATATAAAAGATATTAAATCAAATTTTACACACTCGTTTAGTCATTTTGGAATTACTCTTATTCACAATAACATGGCGATAAAAAGGTGCAATTAATGTCTATTTCTACTAATGTAGATTTACTTTAATCTTGGTTTAACTCACTTTTTATCTTCTTCTAATTCTAAGAATTAGAAATAGACGAAAAATAAATTAATCTGAGATTGAAGTTATATCTACGTTGGTAGAAATTGATCCAAAAAATCCTTGAAACTTCCAAAAGTTTCGACAGTTCCAAACAATGCTGTATCATCAACTTCATTGAGCAAATTATGGAAATTGTGCGGTTATTATCGTCGACCAAGCAATCTAATCTATGGACAAAATCCACATGATAGAGATACGAAGACTGTAAAATAAAATGTACTCGAGATAACAAATACCGCAATTTCTTTCTGCAATCACGTAACACGTCTGTAGATTAAACAGGAGTTTATTAATCCACGTCGTGCTCGATAGAAACGCGACCCGAGATGTTCCATTTTCGTATCTAGAACCGTAGGCCTGGTATTCTCATCATACGTTCAGCACTGCGACTTTATCTTCCTCCCCTTTCACGTACATATCGTGCAAGTTCGAATGTGTGAAATAGGAGAGTAACTATCAACGACAGACAGCCGTATTTAATCCCGAATAATGCTTGGTCTTCAACAATTCAATTCAACTTCTCAATAGGAGCATCTGAAATAGTTCCGTATTGAATTGTCACGCGAGCATTTAGAAAAAAGGACATGGTAGTAGCAACCACACAGTGGTAACAACTATGATACACAACTATAGTATATACTGTATATTTATATACATATATATAATACGTATAACTGTAAGTATATACAGGGTGAGGTATCTAAAACAGGTCACCTAAATAACTCGTTTGTTTTTGATGATACGAAAAAATGTTTCAGATGAAAATGGAATGGTTTCGAGGAAGTGTTTTAGTTACGTTTTTTTTTTTATCTATGTAGAGGCACCAAAAAGATACGAAGGTTACCTCCACCTTTTTAAATGGAATTACGTGACTTTTTTTACATAGGTAATATAATTTCTATCACAATTCTGCATATAAAAGTATGAAGATATACAAATATCAAAAATACAGTTATATTGTATCTTATATTTTATTCTGTTATAATGTTATGTCATATGTTGACATAAAATATTAAATATCTCGTAAACTATTAATTTTTTTATAATCGAGCCTTAATACTTTTATGAACAGAATAATGGGACAAATCAGTTGGTGTAAAAAAAAACACACACACACATAATTGCTTCAAAAAGAATGTAGACGAAATGGATAATTTTTTAAATAAATAACTCCATTTAAAAAGGTGAAGGTAATTTTTTCATATCATCAAAAACAAGCGAGTTATTTAGATAACCTGTTTGAATTGCCTCACCCTGTGTGTGTGTGTGTGTGTGTGTGTGTAAAAATATATATATATTATATATACGCGTTTGTAAATATTTATGTAAAATTAATGTATACAGTTAAATAAACTATTTTATATATTATAAATGCAATATAACTATAAAATAGTTTACTCAACTGTGAATACGTCTCGGAATACGTTTACATGTAATTATTGATCAGGTTTGGTAACATCCGTAGTTATTAATGCTAACATAAGATATCGTATAAATGCTAATTAAATTCGGTTTAGTAAAGTACAACTGGTACTTTAAAATCGGACTTAACTAATATTTCTACTGCCCATGGTCTCTGATCCTGAAGGATCAAGTTATATTCCAAATATCATAAACGTCAGTAGTTAATAACTACGAATATTATTAAACTAGATTAATAAGTAACATGCAAATGTATTACATTAATTCTACATAATACAAAACTTGTATGATTGCCATTTCTATAATTATTATCATTATATTTTTCTTGAGTGTAGAGTTTTATTGCGACAGTGATTTCGATTTTAAAGTTCTGTATTTAAACACGCTCCGACTTTTAACGCGTCATTCGCCACCTTGGCAAGCATTACATGTTAATAACGTATTACCTTTATTCGTATTACAACCACGAGAGCCGAGAGGCAGCGGTGAATCGTTAACTCATGTTTAATTAAATCTGTCTGTCACGCAAATCAAGCCCGGTCTTAACGAGCACTGTTGCGAATCAGTCGTTCTCGAACAGTTTAGAGGAAATTTCAGGTTTATCGTTGGCCGTGCTACGAAAAGTGGTCGACTTATAGTTTGTCCAATCGATGAAGGACGACCGTGATCAAAAAGCAGCGACGCTGGTTGAACGTTACTCCCGAGTTTTGTATCGCCACGCGATAGAATTTCTATCGTTGACAGAAAATACGGGTCTTCGACGTATTGCAATCTATTGGTAAAACACCGTCAATAATGTAAAATTATACTATCAAAAAAATTGCATATATCACTTCCAAAAGAATGACTGAAGATGTCTTTGCGACAACTAACTTGGCGAGTTTTTGCGTTCGGAGTAAGTCTTCCACAGATGCAGCTGCGGGGTCATCGTTGCCGCTATTTTGATCTCGGAATTGCTTGTCAATCATCGTATAAACATCAATTAGCATCAACTGTATATGCGAATCACTGTGTCGCGCGAATCGTTCGTTATCGACCGCGGTGGAATCTGTATTCTAAGGTGAAGTCACCTCGTTGTCCTCGGACGGAGAATCGAGTGAGTCGAAATGGAACCGGGATGATCGGGAGACTTTGGTATGGACTCGGCACATCGCGAGAACGACGATACACCAAGAGTCACAGAGCGAGCCGTATTCTAAGGTGAAGTTTCCTCATCGTCCTCGAATGGAGAATCCTTGATTGAATCCCTCGATTGGACTCGACGTCTTGTCAGAGGGATGGTAACACCGGGGAGTCGCAGGATTGCGTTCCAAAATTCGACACTGTCAACCCAAGTGTCATTTTATCCTTCTTGTTAACTGGACGTTGAACAAAAATAAAAAATATTCGGAGTTGACAGAGTCATGTTTTGGAATGCACCCCCCCCAGGGAAGTAGTGAACCGTCGCGTGCGCGAACATAGGTCGTACGGTCGTCGCCGCTCGAGAGAGTCTGGGGTGTGTTTAAAAAGAAGAAACAGGAGAGAGAGAGAGAGAGAGAGGGGGGGGGGGGACTCACCTGCTTGGACCGTGACGAGGGTGCCCACCGCTAAATATAGCATCCCCAGCAGCACAAAAGCGGCTCGCCTCTCCATCCCGGTGGCGCTGCTGCCGACGTACGCGGTGGCGCGTGACCGTGTTCACCGTGCACGGCAATACGATTAGCAACGACGAGCACGATGCCCCACCTCGTCGTTGTCGTCGTCGTCGTCGTCGTCGCGGGGGCGAGAGGGGAATCTACGCGGCACCTGGACGAGCGATGCCTCCTGCCGCGTTGACGGGCCGTCGTACGCGGGGATAGCGTGCCGTCGTCCTCGTCGTCCTTGTCCTTACCGTCGTCGTTACCGCCGCGACTCCCCGTGACCGTCACCTCGTCAATATTCTCGGACGGGCCGTCAAAACTGCGAATTCTCTTTTCTCGCGCCGTACACAACAGATGACTGGATCGTTTGCGCGAGAACGCCCGTCACACAACTGCTGCTGCTGCTGCTGCTGCTCCACCTCCTCCTTTTCTTCTTCTTCTTCTTCTTCCTCTTCCTCTTCCTCCTCCTCCTCCTCTTCCTCTGCCTCTGCCACCGATGTCGCCGCTGCCGTTGCCGTCACGATCTATCACTGACGTTTGATCGTTCGTCTTATCGTTATCTCTGCACTCTTATCTTAATGCGCACTACACAGTGACCATCCAGGTGCCGTCGCCGCCGTCGTCGTCGCCGTCGCCGCCGCCCCGTCGTCGTCGCCGCTCCCTCCACCACCGTCTCCTTCTTCCTCTACCTCTCCTTCTCCACGTTACCGTCGTCGTCGATTCACCCTTCGGAAGCGATAGAGAAGAGGGGGAGAGAGAGGCACACACTAATCACCACACGACGGATAAGCACTGCGGAGCAGTGCAAGCCGCAGCAGCTATCCAGCTACAGTAGTAAATGTCAGAAGAAAAATGGCGATCGTTGTCTTCTGCTTCGGGACCTCTTCTTCCTTCTCCGCCACGCAAACGTCCGTCTCGTTCTGTCACGCGCCAATCGACGTCCCCTCCACTTCACCATTTCCTCTTTTTCCGATAATGATAAACTCTGCGAAATTCTACGATCGCGCCCTCTGCGGCGATTTGCTGTCTTTTTAATATGGTATTTTTCGGAAGGTCCCGATTGCCTACATGCACGATTGCCACACATTGCTCGCTGATTGGCCAATTTAAAAATAATATAACCTCATTGGTAAAGCACTGAAAAGTCACTAGGGCCGGTATTCATAGTCAGTTCTTATATTCAAGACCGTCTTAAATTGATGCCTGGTTTATGGCTGGTTTATGCTTCGGTCTTAAGGACTTAAGCGGGGAGCACAGACTTTTGCATAACGCATAAACCATATACATAAAGAATTTGATTGGTCCATTGACTCATGCATAAGAAAATGGGCCAATGAAATTCCTTATGCACATGCTTTTTGCATTATGCAAAAGTGTGTGTTGGGGCTGCCAATGAAATTCCTTATGCACATGCTTTATGCATTATGCAAAAGTGTGTGTTGGGGCTCTTAATCTTATTGGCTCTTCAGCCAATAGAGTTCAAATTTCGGTTAGAACTGGCAGCTTTATTGGTTGAATTTTAGGATCTTGGGATTAAAACCTGAAGCATAAACCAGGCATCAGTCTTAAAGAGTTACGAACCAATCAGAGGGCCGCTTTAGCATCTTAAGACATTACTTAAGACAGTCTTCAAATAAGAACTGACTATGAATACCGGCCTAGGCACCGACCAATAGGTCTGTTTTTTATTGCTACAGTTTCTAAGGCCGGAATCAGACTACGCATTAAAAATTGAGATTGAAGATTAAACATTGAAATTTGACCAATGAGAATAAAAGAATTTTTGCTCCTATTATTTTAATTGGCCAAATTGGACGCGGATCGGATTGAGAATGCGGATCGAGCATCGGAATTCAGCCAATCAAGATAAAGCTGCTTTGTTTTGATTGGCTCAATATCGATGTGCGATCCGCATCCACATCCGTAGTGTGACACGGGCATAATGTGAGTGAAATTTCTTGGGTATAAATGGATTAGTTTCGACTGATTTTAATCCTCTTTTCTCGGCGGAGTAGAGCGAATCCGGTGTAAACGTTCCATAAATCCACTTCACTTCGAAGTGAATCGGGATTGGACGGCTGGGTGTAAACTTGGTCAGTGATGTGTATAATCACCAATAGCAAAGTATTTTTCGATCCAGATTAGTGCAACACGGTCGGATAAAAAACGCTATATGTTTGATTCATATGAGAAAAACAACTTTACAACTATACTGTTGTAAAATTCTTTGATATGATTGGTCTTACTCTTTGTAATCGACGTTCAGTTTCTACAGTCATTTACAGATGGCGCTAAAATTGGAGACGTGGGAGAATTCTTACATATATATATCTATGCTTATTTTACATTTAAAGCCCTTGGTTTAAATCCCCTAGTTTAAAGTTTAAATCCCTTTAATCTTGATAAAACGGATCTGTGCAGATCTGTGTTTGACAACTTGGTGCATTGTGCATTATGTTTCGGATAAAGAATTTCGTACATCGGTAATCACTGTCACGTATTACCGATTGCAACAAGGATCTGAAAAATTTCTGTTTCTTTTTTACTAATGAGAAGAACATAATGTTGAAGTACATTTTTCCTGTTGCGATAATCGTTATCGCCTGCTTGTCACAGCAATCTGAGGTTAGGATGCTTTCTCACGGTTGAATTAATCCAGTTCATTTTGATATATCTTTTAACAACTGTGAATGATTCTAGGCGCAATATGACGACAAGAGATGCAAGTGCATCTGTCCAAGCCTTTCTTCCGTCATAAACACGACGCAATCGACGGAACGTCTCACATACATTATAAATGTACCACCATTACAATGGTAGTTAGTGGTGTTTTCCAACAAGAGATTACCTCATTTACAATGTGTTCTTTGCTCCCTATTTCTTGTATTTTACTTTAATGTCTTGTACCTATGTCTTGTTTTCTTCGCAACCGTTTTATTGATAATCATGGCTCTGTTCATATTTCTTATCTCTTCCGAAATCCATTAACTTTTATCTTGGATAACCGAAAAACTGAATGAGAGACACAAGCAAGAAATAAAAGCAAAAAGAAAAACAAGAAACAAAGAGCACAATATAGATTATGTTTTATGATGTTTCTCAGCAAGAAATTACACAGTAATCATTTTTGTTTAACAGTGACAAACAAGGATAAAATAATATTCTGTGTTATGTTATGAATTCTTTCTATTTAGTGGCACAAGTCAACATGAGTGCCATTCTATTGTTATTCATTGAATGTTATGAAAAATAGAAATGATGCTTATGTCAATTTGTATCTCTAAATGGAAAACGTACATTATCTTTGCTGAAAAACAAATCCAATATAAATTAATAAGAGCCCTTATCCATACAATTGGCAATATTAAGAGTTTTTTTTTTTTTTTTAGCTAGAAGTCACGATTAGACACAGTGCCAAAAAAGAGTACTGTATAAAGTTGATTGTTTAAACAAGGCTGCCAAATTTTTACAATATACTAAAATTTTTTTATTTTCTAAATAGTTGATAGTTATATATTTGACACATAAATCTTGGCTCATCTTTATGACTGTATCTATTTATGTTGTGTTGTATCATTGTTGACAAGCAATGTATTGAACACAGTATTATTTTACATTGTCTGTGTTCTTTGCTAGAAAAATTCCATAATTTACTTTATGATTGTCATCTGAATATACTATCATAATACATATCTAATTTGTAGCAAATGCGAAAGTGTTGTTTTGCCGAAACTTGGTGAGCAAATAAAAGGTAAAGAGGAGGTATTTTGCTCGCGATGCGACTGCAAATATGAAAACAGAAACACGACTATTATTAAGGTATTTATTTCTTCATTGGCAAACTTTATTAACTGTTTTATAGACCATATTATGTGACAGAAACATTTATGTTACAGATCGTGGTGATAATAGTTATATGGGTTATTTCATTGTTAGTAATTTATATGTTATTCCTGATTTGTCTGGATCCACTACTTAACAAGCGGATACACAAGGCGTCAGCAAATATTGGTTATCACGAGCATAATAATGAAGAGGTAAATATGTTATGTAATAATGCAAATTTTTTATTTTTCTTTCTAATAATGTTTCGGTCACTCGCACTACATTGGATTAGTGCACATTAAAAAGGCTGCTTTATATAAGGTATCTAAAGTGGCAGTGGCATAATATAATCAACTGTGACAATGAAATAATACACATATATTCTGTTAAATAACATGACACATTATTGGATATTTCATCATTTAAAATATTTATATGCTTTTACATTTAACTTTGCTAAATTCATATTATAGCAGGTGTCAGTATACTAATGTATGTATAATGCAAGTGACCAAATTTGCTACGTTTAAGTAGATGAAATAAATGTAATGTTTGACAACTAAACACTGATTATATACACGTTCTGTTTTTTCTTTTATTCTACAAAGGATGATTCATCTCTCGCACCTGGAACGTCTCACCCAATGGGAGAAAGGGGCAATGTTTTGAATCGTGTTGGACACCAGCAAGACAAGTGGAAGCGACAAGTTCGGGAACAGAGGCGGAATATTTATGATCGTCATACTATGCTGAATTAAGTTGAACAATTTGTTCCCTAAGTATGTAAAATATCCAACAGACAGAGTATTTCTAATTGTGACAATTTATTCGATTTTTTCGAAGCAAACCTCTCGCGAATAGTTTGTAAAAATATAATATATTGCAGTAATAAAGTAACATTAAGCGTTAGCGATTATACTTAGCGATCATTTATTTTCATAAAATTCTATCCAGTAGACTAATCTAACCATATCACGATTGATATAAACGAAAACATGTACTCGCGTATATTCAAAGATTTATAATTTCCTGTGAATATTTCTGATTTAATATTTATCATTATCCTATATGTGTAAAAAATTTAATATAAATTATATATAAATTATATCATTATAAAACTAATTCGCGGAGGGATTTCAATAATTTTTGCGTCACGATAGCTTTCGAAGTTTTTTTTTAACTATAAAAACAGAAAAACAGAAATCATCTATATTTTTGATAGAATTCTTTTTAATAATACTTTTATTGCACTTATATGAAAATCTTCAGATAATTATGTATAAAATACAAATGTTTCTTAATCGTATATATTTTATAAGACGAGCTTTTATATGTAATTCCTAAGGTTTTCGATCTTTTGAGATTACTTTCTCAAGCGAATCTTTGATTGTGTCGTATAACGTTAAGACAAGAGCACCACCAGTGCCACGAAGAATATTGGAGAATGCACCTTTGAAGAAAGCTCCGAGGCCTTCGTTTTTTGTTATTTTTATCCAACAATCAAGTGTATTTTTATACATTATGTCAGCCTTACTTCGCCCTGATTGCATCATCATCCGTCTTCTAACTGTATCGAAAGGATAGGACACGATACCTGCCAACGTTGTTACTATCTGCAAAGAGTGACACATAATAACAAATTGTTACATTTTTGTCGCTCTATTGTTATATATTTAACATATTTGGAAGAAAGATCTCTTCGTACCTCAGCGATTATAAAATTCATGTACAAGGGTGTGCTCTTTGGATCGGATAGCATACCCCTCATAGTATCATAAAATCCAAAGTACGTTGCGCGATATATAATGATTCCTTGCACGCTGACGTTGAAGCCGCGATAAAGTCCAAAAAATCCGTCCGATTTAAAAATCTTCATTATACAGTCATTTATACCTTTAAACTCTCGTTTCTCACCTTTTCCGACATCGGCAGCCAATCTAAAAAATCATTACTATCTTATGCAAATAATATAGACTTAAAATTTAGCTATGCCATAATATTGTTCATTTCTGTTTGTAGCAAATTGTGTCACTTACACTACATTATATTAGTGCGTACTAAAAACTATATAAAATTAACAAGTTAAATGTAAAATGATCAAATATCCAATAA